CAATGTGTATTTGTTGAGTCACTTATTTGGTGAGATTTCTCCAATTGTTTCTCTAGTTGTTGATTAGCTCTAGTTTTAGCTAGAGAAGAACTTTGTATAACTATTATTTGATAGTGAAGATTTTTTTGGTGGCCCGTGATTTTTTTCCCTCTACACTGGAGGGTTTTTCACGTAAATCTTGGTATGTTTTATTTTTCCTGCGTATTTGATTATTGATTGTTGTCTATTGCTTCTGTATTGTTGTGATTATTGCTTCAGGCGCAACAAGTGTTATCAGAGCAAGGGTTATTTTGAGACATCGATACAGAAGCAACCCAGGATAGAAGTAAATTCTGTTTGAGATCATGGGGGGTGATATAGGTTCCATGATAAAATTGACAACATCGAATTATTCAATTTAAAAGCCTATGATGGAAGATCATCTATACTGCAAAGATTTGTATGAGCCAGTATTGGGTGATTCGACTAAACCAGCAGATATAAAATATGAAAGCTGGAAGAAGCTAGGTAGAAAGACGCTGGCTACAATCAAAAAATGGGTTGATATCAGCGTGTTCCATCATGTAGCGCAGGAGTCAGATGCTCACATTGTTTGGGAAAAATTGGCAGCATTGTATGAGAGAAAAACAGGTATGAATAAAGTTATGCTTGTTAAAAAGATTACAACTTTACAGTACAGGGATGGACGATCTGTTACAGAACACTTGAGTGATTTTCAAGATATATTTAATCGGATGACTACTATGGAGCTTAAGATAGATGATGAAATGAAAGCGTTATTTTTTTTGGGTTCATTGCCAGACAACTGAAATACTCTAGTTGTGACTGTTCTTAATTCAGCTCCTAATTATAAGGTGACATTGGAGATGATAAAGGACAGTATGCTTAACGAAGAAGCAAGGCCAAAAGATGTAAACCCTGGGAATCAAGCTCTAGTCACAGAGAACAAGGGTAAAAATATCGACAGAGGTCAGGACCCAAAAGATCGTGATAAGTCTAAACATAGATCCAAGTCTAGAGGTAAAGTGAAGTGTTTCCATTGTGGTAAGACGGGTCATATAAAACGAAACTGTAAAATCTTGAAACAAGAGCGAAAAGATGAGAAAGACAAGAGTTCAAATGATAGCAATATTGCAGTAGTAAATTCAAATAGTGATTCAGTTACTTTGATTTGTATACATGGTGATTGTAATCATGTTAGTGATCCCGGCATTGAGTGGATAGTTGACACAGGAGCGGCATATCATTGTGTTCTTAAGAGAGAGTTATTTATAACTTACAAAGCATGAGACTTTGATTGTACCAAGATGGGAAACAAGAGTGTGTTACAGATTGTTGAGATTGGTGATATTGTTGTACAAACTAGTACAGGCTGTATGTTGACTTTGAGGGATGTCAGACACATTCCAGATATGAGAATGAACTTGCTTGCTATTAATGTCCTTGATATGAAGGGATATGAAAGTCGATAAAAGAATAGACAGTGAAAGCTTCTCAAAAGATCTATGGAGGTTGCAAGAGGAAAATTATGCTGCACAATGTATAAGACATTGATGCAATTGAATGGTAATCAGATAAATACCGTTGAAAATGATGCTTCAACAAACTTATGGCACAAGAGGCTGGCACACATGAGTGAAAAAGGGTTACAAGTTTTGGCAAGGCACTCTCTCATTCCCTTGACCAAAGGTATATCTCTCAATTGTTTGGTAAGCATCATAGAGTTTCTTTTCGTAAAAGTTCTCAGAGAAAAGAAAATAGATTGAAATTAATTTATTCTGACGTATGTGGTCCCATTGAGGTTGAGTCATTAGGTGGTAACAGATATTTTGTTACTTTTATTGCTGATGCTTCACGTAAGATTTGGGTGTATATGTTGAAATACAAAAGTCAGGTACTGCAGTATTTTTAAAATTTTCATGTCATAGTTGAAAGGATGACAGGGTTACCCTTGAAGTGTATTCGAACTGATAATGGTGGGGAATACACATCTAAAGACTTTGAAGAGTATTGCTCAAAGCATGGGATGAGGCATGAGAGGACATAACTTAGAACACCGTAGCATAATGGTATAGCTGAAAGAATGAATTGCACAATTATGGAAAAAGTCAGATGTATGTTGAAGATGGTAAAATTACCAAAACCATTTTGGGGTGAAGCAGTCAACACAGCTTGTTATTTACTTAACAGGTCACCATCAGTTCCTTTGAGCTTTGACATTCCAGAAAGAGTGTGGGTAGGGAAAGATACTTCATACTCTCACTTGAAAGTTTTTAGGTGTAAAGCATTCATGCATGTGCCGAAATAGCAGAGATTAAAGCTTGACAATAAAGCTACACAGTGTGTGTTTGTAAGATATGGTGATGAGGAATTTGGCTACAGGGTATGAGATCCAGTAAAGAAAAAGACAGTTAGAAGCAGAGATGTGGTCTTTCATGAAAAAAAACCATAGCAGACTTTGAGAAAAATGAGAAAACTACACAGATTATTGTTGAGTGTGATATTTCAACACCGACAGAGATTCCACAGGAAAGAGCCACAGATGGTGAAAATGAGCAAGAAACAGAACTTGAGGATATGAATGAGTCAGCTACAGTTGGTGATGAGCCAAATGCTATTAGTTTTGAGTAGGAGGAGCAATCCTCTCTACTGAGAGTGTTGAACATGGAGAGCTACCTTCGACATCAAGTGATGTAGAGTCTCAGCCCAAGAGATCTACTAGAGAGCGCAAGCCATCTACCAGGTATCCAAGTTCAGATTTTATTTTAGTTACCAGTGAAGGGGAGCCAAAAAGCTTTCAAGATGTGTAGGCTACTCCGGATAAAGAGCATTGGTTAAAAATAATGAAAGAAGAGATGGAGTCATTGCGAAAGAATGGTACTTATGATCTTGTTAAACTTTCAACAGGGAAGAGGCCATTAAAGAATAAATGGATGTTCAAGTTGAAAAAGGATGGTGACAAACTAGTGAGGTACAAAGCTCGATTGGTAGTAAAAGGTTTTTCTCAGAAACCAGGCATCGATTTTGATGAGATTTTTACTCCAGTTGTAAAAATGAGTTCTATTCGAGTGGTACTGGATTGGCAGCTAGTTTGAATCTTGAACTTGAGCAACTTAATGTTAAAACTGTATTTTTGCATGGTGATTTGCAAGAAGACATTTATATGAATCAGCCTGAGGGTTTTGAAGTGAAAGGGAAAGAGCATTTAGTTTGCAAATTGAAGAAAAGCTTGTATGGCTTGAAACAAGCTTCGCGACAGTGGTACAAGAAGTTTGATTCTTTTATGGTGAGTCATAGCTATAAAAAAATAGCAGCGAATTCTTGTGTGTATGTTAAACAATTTTTTAATGGTAACTTCATTATCCTATTATTATATGTTGATGATATGTTTATTGTAGGACAAGATGCTAGTATGGTTTGCAGGTTGAAAGAACAATTATCTAAGTCCTTTGATATGAAGGATTTAGGTCCAGCAAAGTAGATTCTTGGTATGGATATTATTCGGGATAGGAAAGCTAGAAAGCCGTGGTTGTCACAGGAAAAATATGTTGAACAAGTGCTTGGTAGATTCAACATGTAACATGCTAAATCAGTTAGCAGTTCACTTGCCAACCATTTTCATCTAAGTAAAAAATCTTGTCCAGTGTCTAAGGAAGAGCAACTAGCTATGTCTAGTATTCCTTATTCTTCTGTAATCGATTCTTTAATGTATCTTATGATTTATACAAGGCCTAACATTGCTCATGCAGTTGGTGTAGTGAGCAGATTTTTTTCTAATCCAGGGAAGGTTCACTGGGAAGCAGTGAAATGAATTTTTAGATATTTGAGGGGTACCTCAAAAATGTGCTTGACTTATGGAGTTTCACAACCAGTTCTAGAAGGGTTTACTGATGCTGACATGGCAGGCGATCTTGATGGTAGGAAATCTACTTCAGGATATTTGTTCACTTTTGCAGGAAGAGCTGTATCTTGGCAATCTAAGTCGTAAAAGTGTGTTACTTTGTCAACTACAGAGGCTGAGTATATTGCAGCAACCGAAGCATGTAAAGAAATGCTTTGGATGAAATATTTTCTTCTTCAATTGGGGTTGAAAAGAGTATGTGGTATTTTGTGATAGCCTGAGTGCTTTAGATTTGAGTAAGAATACCATGTACCATGCTAGAACAAAGCACATTGATGTTAGATATCATTGGTTACGTTCAGTGATTGAAGAACAGCAGATGTTATTGAAGAAAATCCATACTGATAAGAATGTAGCAGATATGTTGACTAAGATACTTCCCAGGAAAAAGCTTGAGCTTTGCAGTAACTTGCCCGGAATGAGTTTTCTGGCCAAGGTAAGTTCCAAATGAAACTGCTATGGTGATGAATCTTCTCCTAATGGGGCTGGAGGGGGAGATTGTTAGGAAAATGAGGTCCAATCCCATGTAAGTGGTTTTGGACCAAGTAAAAGCCATGGGCCTTGATCTTTTATTTTACACAGAGCCCTAGCTACTTAATAAAAAAGAGGTGGGGTTGTTTTAGGTGTGTGTCGAAAACCAAATAGAGAAAGAAAAAAAGCCAGGAAAAGCAGAGAGAGAAAAAGGAGAAGGGAGAATTGGTTGAACGAAAGTCGATCCGTGATCCGATTGAGTTGGAACCTTGTCAGGAGGTTTATGATTCAGAGTTCTACATTCTGAACGATGAAGATCGGGTTTGAAGCTCTCTAAGAACAAATCCAGGATGTATTTGTTGAGTCACTTATTTGGTGAGATTTCTCCAATTGTTTCTCTAGTTGTTGATTAGCTCTAGTTTTAGCTAGAGAAGAACTTTGTATAACTATTATTTGATAGTGAAAATTTTTCTGGTGGCCCGTGATTTTTTTCCCTCTACACTGGAGGGTTTTTCACGTAAATCTTGATGTGCTTTATTTTTCCTGCGTATTTGATTATTGATTGTTGTCTATTACTTCTGTATTATTGTGATTATTGTTTCAGGCGCAACAAGTATTTCCAGGGGATTACTTATTATAGAAACTAAAAAACCAGATAACATAAGAGATTACTTATTATAGCTGCACTGAACGAAGTACTTTGATGGGGTTGCAAGGCCTGTTTCTGATAAAACACAAGGACGTGTCCTAAAATGAGAGAAACGGAAAGGAAAATGTTTCCAAAGGTGATCTCTATTATAATTTACCACACGCAAATCATCCTGGATGTGAGTCGTTTTGCAGCATGAAGACTCACTGGAAGCTGATAAAACAGAAAAATATACCAAAAAAATAGTAGTTACTATATAGTTTTACCTTTAAACCAGTGGAGATTATCTGGCTTCACCAATCCTCAATTTTGAGAATACTTCACTGGCAGTTACAACTGAATCATTATCAAATAATACAGTTGCATCTTCTTCATCAACCGTTGGACAGCTATTGGAAGGTAAACGATTAATAACAGGCATCGAAAATTCCAATGAAGCATTAGTTGTACTGTCTTCAAGTGGCCCCCTGCTCAATGGAGTTAGCTGAAGCTGCAATGCATATTCTAAGTCCCACAACACATCACGCATAATAGGCCTTTCACTACCAGATGGCTTCAAGCATTTTTCTGTTATTTCAGCAAACTTCCTCAATGAGTTGGGATTAATTGTATCCACTAGCATTGGATCAATAATTTTCTCAAGTTCACCTTTCCTCAGCCAAAGCATTCCCCATTCAGCTAAGTTGACTTCCTCCCTCCTATTTGAGTTGATAACTGCTGGCCTAGCGCAAAGTGCTTCCAGGAGTACAACTCCAAAAGAGTACACATCAGATTTATCTGTCAATTGCAGTGATATGAAGTATTCTGGATCAAGATAACCAAAGGTACCCTTTACATCAACACTATGTTCTACATCAGGAAGGCCTGATTTTGAAAGACCAAAATCAGCAACTTTGGCCACAAACTGTTCATCCAGCAAGATGTTTGTTGACTTAACATCGCGGTGAATGATTCCTCCAGATGAACCAGTGTGTAGGTAATTAAGGCCTTTTGCTGCACCAATGCAAATTTCGAGTCTTTGCTTCCAAGATAATTCGTTTCGTGCACTGTATGATTTCTCAAGATTGGCAGTTGAATAATAGAGATTATCTCTTAGAGTCCCCTTCTCCATGAACTCATAGACTAATATCATTTCAGATCTTTCTTCACAAAATCCAATTAAGGAAACAAGGTGACGATGGCGAATTTGAGATAAGACCACAATCTCCGTTTGGAATTCCAGCAGGCCTTGGCCATGTCCTGGTTCACTCCTTTTCACGGCCACTTTCGTACCACGAAACATTCCTTCATAGACTTTTCCAAATCCGCCCTCTCCAATCAGCAAATTGGAATCAAAGTTCTTGGTTGATTGCTCAATTTCATAATAAGATATTCTCAGAGCAAGATTCAAATTGGAAGGGGACATATTGGATGCTTTGTCAGACATTCTGTTATAAGAACTCCCTCTTCCATACAAAGGCAGAGACAAAGGCCAACTTGAAGATTGCTCAGGCTTTGCTTTCCTGCATTTCCAACTCAGAAGCGCTGCTACTATCAAAACAAAGACAATTGCAACCCCGACAATGGAACCAACTATAGCAGAGAGACTAGTCTTTCTACTTCGAGGCTTCTCTGGGAACGAATCAAATTCTGATTTCTTCACAAAATCCATTATTTCCAGTCCATTCAGAAAAGCAGTTGGATTCTGAGAATCATGTCGAGGGCCTACACTTATGTTCATGATTCCTGATTCATCAGAATCAACCACAAAATCAAAGTAAAATGGAGCTGCCAACTGGCCCATTTTATCATATGGACTGATCCTCTGACCAAACTTGTCGTAGATATAGAGATTAAAAATAATAACATCAAGAGAAACACTAATTATGTCACAAAAGTGCACTCGAACAAAGTGTTTAGAACTCTTACTCACACTAAAACTCCAAGTTATATTGAAGAAATTCGATTGCCTGCTATCATCTATATTCAATTCTTTTGCAGTCTTATAGACAAGGCTTGGGGCAGTATATTCTGTGGCTCCTCCTGCTTGGTATTTAGGTGTATCAGTGAAAAATTCACTGTTCCTAGCAGCTTTTGGATTAAACAAGAAGTTATCATCTGGTATCCAGTTCCTCCACAGTGTGTCATTTTCTGGTGTGAGGGTAAGCCCTCCAACATTAATCCTGTAGAGGGTATGTAACACCAGAGAGGTCAAACCATCAAAAGAATTTCTACTTCCTGTAGGAGCAACGTGAGGAGCAGAATCAAGGATGAAACTTTCAGGGGCAAGAAAGACTTCAATGGCGTTTACAAAAGCTAGATGTGATCCTCCAGAAGGTATGAAGTTGATTTTAAATCTTCCCAAATTGATCGTGACCAAAAATTCCTTGATGACAGGTAAACCAGAATTATTCTTGACACTAAAATTTGATAGTAGCCAAAATCCTGAAGCTGAAACATTGAATATAGCATTGGCTAAGTAATTAGAAGAGGACGAACCAAAGAAATGGAGACGTACAAAGTAAGTGCCGTTCTGGTTGATTGCAAACTCATAAAAAGAAGGCTGTCGATAGATTCTTGCAGACTCATAGAGTGGAGATATGCCAGCTGAGGAACTTGCATCCGAGACAGGGCTGCTTTGTCCAACAAGGAAGGAAACGCCAGAATTCAGGTCACCAACAAAGTTCCGGCTTCCACTGCCTGTGAAATTGGACCTTGATCCACAGTTGATGAAGTACTCATCCGGAGCCGTGTAAGCTGATGAGAGAGGCAGAAGAGAAAATAATTGGAGGGGAAGGAGAACAATGAATAGTGGGCAAAGAATCTCCAGGTTGTGAAGCTTTTCCATAGGAGGAATGAGATGCTAGTAGCCAACTTTTTTTACAGTGGAAGTGAAGGTTATGGACACCATGAAACAGAATAAAGGTGGTGATAAATTGATAATCAATCAAACATGGCTAATTAAATGAAAACAAATCTTAAAGAAAAGATGTTAAAGATAGACGCGTAGTTGTTGACCTGTATTTTAAGCAGGAAAAAGTGAAGGTAAAAGGAAGAACAGAAATTGAGAGTCTGTCTCCATGTGATGCATTAAGGTAATTTTATTAACAGTGGAGTAACATTTTCTTCATTGACTCGTGTCCGTTTCTATGTGATGAACAACTCATTAAAGAATTTACCAGTACATTTTTTTCCTCTACTTTTAGGTACACCAAAAAGATTCGAAAGTAGATGAATTATTGCAGGGGGCAGTCCAAAAGTAGGATAATCTTTTTCTGGTTCACTTTAATAAAGAAGCAATTTATAAACCTAATCCCTGGTGGAGAAAAGACCCAAAGTGATTGCGTTCATATACAATATTCTGATCTTTCCCAGCAAGCCCCTCATTGTTGATACAGTAGATGAAGTAGATGATCGATTTCCGAGGGTAGACTGTAAGCAAGAATTCTGTGATCAGAGGGTATTTGCTACTATTGTTGCATGGTAAATATCTTCAAATTGTTAAAAGAGGAAAATGATGATATCAAGTTAGTTAGGTTGTGATGAATTGTTTCAACACCATTTTTACCTTTTAGTAATGCCAATCCAAATGTTAAACACTTCTATCCCTGTCATTGACTAATGATATTCTCATTTTCCACTCCATGCTCGATCAATTGCAGAAACAGAGTTTCTTAGATGATTGGGTCCAAGGCTCAAAAAAGCCAAATCTGAGGCTAGCTCAGAAAAGCCCAGACCTCCCAACTTATCATTATAGAACCCAAGTGAAGATTGGAATTTGATAGACCATAAGCGCGGACATTTTTTAACCTCTCGCGTATTTGTGTCATATTCATGTTAAATATTTTGACACTTGTGACAAATCAAATGTCGAATTTGATTAAATATAATAAAAATTAAAAAAATAATTCTCATATAAATAATGAGATCTAATCATTAGTTTTTTTACAAGATTTAATATCTTTTAAAAATTAATTTAATATTTATTATATATTTTTAATTGATAATTATAATATATAAATTTTTTTATTATCATATCTAGTTATATCAATATTCTCAAAACTTTTAAAATTATGGTATTATCAAATTTGTATAATATTATATTTGTATTATGTTTATGTGCTTCATAGATAATAAAAGATATGTTTGAACAAACAGATTTATGTTATATTTGGATTTACAAAAATATTAATTTAGATAAAATTAAAAATAATAATATAAATTATTAAAACTGTAATTAAAAAAATTTATTGTAATTATAGTTTAAAAATTTAATAAAAATTTTATGCAAAATAAATCTTAGTAAAATTATATTTAAATTCATCCGATCATGTGATAACTCAATTGTACTGCACCAAAATCCCAATAGAACTCAAATCTAGTTTTACTGTGCAAAAGGAAGCGGTATCTTAAAGCCCATAGTTTCAACTTTTATATTCACTATAAATGCAATAGATCGCCGACTCACTACATCGCCAAGAGTCGTTATTCACTTTCTCTTCTCCGTGGCTAAAAAGAAGAATACAATCAATAGCGACAAGAAAGAAACACAACATAAGGCTAAAAGTCGTTGATCAAGATGGTGGGTCAATGGGCGGTGAGTAAACCAAGCAGGAGTGATGAAGTGTTGGACGCAGATCAACAGCAACAAATCGCCAATCAGATCAGAGCTCAGTTCGATTCCTTGGCCCCAAAACGAACCACCAAGCCCAACAGGAGTGAACCTGATTTAGCAACAATCACCTCCAATCTCCTTCCTGCTGTAGACCAAAACATACCCGAGCTAGACAAGTTACGTTGTCTTCAATCTCGATCTCATGTATGCATTCCTTAACGTGGTTCCATCATCTTTGTCTTTCAGGCTTTAGACTCTTTACCCTTTTTTATGGGTGCCCTTTTTTTGGTCCTGTATTTTGCTTTCATAGGTGAAGATTTCGGTGGGAGGAGATGCTGTGGTGCAAGATGAATTTGTGGAGACAAAATATTACAGGGAGATGGATTCCATCAACAAAGAGCATCACACGGTTTTTGTTCTTGACCTGTTGTTTTCTTATAGTGTTGTTGTTTTGTCTGATCTCTGAATTGTCCTTTTACTTTTCATTGAATTTAAATTGTTTTTTTTTTCTTTTCTTTTGTTTATTGATGACAGACTGGTAGTGGGTTTATAAGAGTGATGAGAGAAGGAGGTGAAAAAAATGGATATGATATTCAGTTGGAAAATGGCCAGGGTGCTGGAATGGTAGTCAACAGGCCAACATTCAAAAGCAACCCAGCAACTAATGACTGGATTCCTAACGTTGAGGAAGATCAGATATTCATGTAGGCTTTTCTGTCTATGAGAAGAATGAAAAGGGCATTGGAAGTATTGTTCTGTTCAATGGTCTCAAGACAGTTGTGTTGTTGATCAAGGTCTTTGTTTCTTCCAACTCTAGTCAGAGTCATGGTTGTTAGATCTACACAGATGTACCAACTTTGCTTAAACAATAATTGTCACATGAGCTCATTAGAGTTTTGGAAAGGGAAATTAACGTGATTCCCAACCAATTAATTCTTATCCTTAGCCACAGTATAATGAATTATCAGATATCAGTTCGTATGTATCAACTTCAAGCACATCTTTGGTGGAATGAAGATATCTAAATTACATTGTCCAATTTGGTGAAATTAATCTGGAATAAATCTGAATTGGAATGAAAAGCCAGATTCCAGCTAAAGATATTGAAAAATTACAACCAAGAATAGCATTCTTATTTAGAATTACAACAATGAAAAACCAAACACTCTTGAAAGTTGAAAGGAAAGATACAAAAAAGAACAATTGTATTAGCAGTACTTTAGAGTACAGCTTGAATGACAACGTTTTCCATGATTGAACGAGCTTTGCCCAAGGCTTCCAGTGGCTCACTCTTGGTCATGGCTAGACCACCTGTCCCTTCAACCATGTCAACTGGCTTCTCATTGATTCTCTCCCACTCGAAACATTGAATCAACGACCCCAAAGTCAAGCCAAAGATGCGGTTGGCCAAGCCGATTCCAGGGCATACCCTCCTTACCACACCAAATGGCAATAGCTTGTAGGGATTTACATCATTGTTATCAAATCTTTCAGGATTGCAACTTGTTCGATCATCCCATAATTTATTGTCCCTGTGAATAGCCCATGCATTGGCCAGCAAAATTGTTTTAGGGGGTATGCTATATCCTCCTATTGTACAATAATCAGAGGACATATGAGGGATTATGACCGGGTTGCCGGGTATAATCGAAAGGTCTCGGAAATAGTATTTTGCAGATATTGTAGTTTGGAAAGATCAGTCTCATCTAGTAATTGTTTAGAGCCAATAAAAGCATCTAACTCTGCTCTAACCTTCTTCAAAACCTCAGGATGATTAAGTAAATTAGACATTGCCCATTCCATTGTCACTGCTGTTGTATGACTTCCTGCTGCTACTATATTCTGCATGTAAGAGTTGAATCATGGTAAAAATTTTATGGTAAACAAAAATTAAAACACATGCTATGCTTTTAATTGGTTAGTTTCCCTTTTTATTGTTACTTGTTTTCTACTTCCAAAAGCAAACAAATACATTACTAACCAGTGCAAGGCCTTTGATAATTTCATCTGTATAGATTTCGGGCTGTGATTCTTGCAAGGAAAGCAAATGGTCGATCATGGTATTTCCACTTTCTTAATGATCTCCGTTATTCCTTCTATGCTCATCAATCATACCTTGAAAGTACATATCTAACTTTTTACCAAGCTTCTTGACCTTCTTTACATAACCTTGAATATCAAAATACTTGAAAATTGGCAAAAACACTCCTGGATATGCCGCACCTCCATAAGCAAAAAAAATCTCCTATAAGTTCCCGAAATTGCCTTGCTTGCTCGGTTCCAGCCTCTTCTTTATCATGGTATCGTTTCCCTGCTATCATCCTCATTGCGATGTTAAACGTCAGCTCCGAAAACGATGGTCTTAACTCTACTTTGCTGAGCTGATCATTTGCTGAAATGTGGCATAACTTGCGTAGTAAAATTTTGATTTCATCGTTTCGAATGCCTATGGACATGTTTAATCGATTAGATGATAGCAACTCAAGAGTAATTATACGGCGAAGGTTGCGCCAGTGATCACCGTAGGATGATGAGGCAAGGGTGGTACAGTTGAAGGCTATGTAATTGTTTAGGGTAAAGCAAGGGCGGTTTGCAAAAATGATGTCATTTTTGGAAAAGCATTCCTCAACAAGCCGAGGGAGATGATACGATGACCGCAAGTTGTGAGCCAAAACCTGAGACAGAAGACTGGACCATGCTTTTTGGAAAGATTGTGGAGTGTTCGATGGAGGGGCTTCTTTAAGAGATGGAGATGACCCAGAAATGGAAGAGCCAACGGGCTTCGTGGGAGGTTCTTATGTCGCATATATAAGGAAGAGTTTCGAAATTGACCATAAAAGAAAAGTCACTGAAGTATAAAATTGTTCACATTGTTTTATTTTTATGAGATAATTTTTGTAGGATAAAATGATAAGATATTTTTTGTAAGACAAAATCGTAATACTAAATAGGGTAAGAGGAAACAATACCTCACAAGAGTATGAATCGTGATCGTCAGATTGATCTGACACACTTGATGAGTGGATGTCTAGATTCTGAAGCAACTTAAATCTCGAATTAGTATCAGAGCCAGCTTTAAATCCTTCAACTACGTCAAGTACCTTGAGAGAGGTAAATAAGGTAACCAGATTTCGTGACGAGGACATCACTATATTGGATGAAAGAGAATGTCACGAACTTAAAAAAGAGTCATGAATCTCATATCGAATATAAAATAAAAGTCACTGAATTATAAAAGGATTCACATCGTCTTCTTCTTATGAGATGCCTTTTGTAAGATAAAATCGTAAGACTAAAACGATCAGAACGAACAATATCTCATAACGATGTAAAATTAATCTGAGAGATCGGATAAATAGATGTTCGAATCTTGAAACTACGAGGATCGGAGCTTAATTCATGATTCATGACACTTGTACTTAATTCCTAACAAAAGCTTGAAAAACAATACGAGGAAAAGACTGAAGAAAGACGAATATAGCAACACGGTTTCTGCCATGATTGGAAATCTGCTTCTCATGAGTTGAGTTCTGATATTCTTTCCTGTATTTGCATTGAAAGAGTTATTGTTAAATAATCTTTCCCAAGGTCACCTGAAGATCAATATTAAACGGCAGAATTCCTGTCCGTTTTAGGTTAGGTTTGGATTATATCATAATTTTGGTGTGATAAGATTGAATATAGTGTGATTAGTTAAATTTAAATATCAATTTTAATAAAATTTATTTAATATAAAATTTTCATCAAATATTTTTAATAATAATTATAATATTTTATAATTATTTTAATCTCACTAAAATTAATTTTGCTACTTACCCAAATAGACCGACTTGGAGATTTCTATTGATTCCCTTAGGTAAAAACCCTGAAATGTTGATCAATAAATGAGGATGAGCCGACCCTTACTACCCCAGAAAGTTCGAGCAATCATTATATACTAACCCAGAAATCATCTGATGACTTTCGTATTATATAATTGATACAGAGCTCAAAGTGTGCCTATTTTGGTTGGATTGGAGACTGAGATGGCTCCATAGCAGCCAGGAATAAATTAATAAAATTAATTAATAGGCACAAAACCATTAGTTCGATGACCATTAATATTATATTTGGTACATGCATGATCATTAGTATTTTAAAATTTGTTAAAATACATACACATCAACAATTCGGAGAATCCAAATAATATTAATTATAATATTTTATTTCTTGGATAAGTATTGATGATGACGGTGATAAAAGTATATGGTTAGTATATATTTTTGAAATAATAAAATTATAATTTGTTTTGAGAGTGATGATTAATGATCTAATATCAGCTTAACTAGCAATGGTTTTTTTTTTTTTTTTTGCGTGCCTTGTATTTAATATCCTAGATCCTTATAATTTCAACTTGGAAGTTAGGAGTATTAAGAGCTATCATCATTTAATTACAACGATATTAATTTTATTACATCTTATAATTTTAAATATGATATAATTATATGATACGAAAATTATATAAAAGAGATATAAAATCAATATAATTTAAAATTTTAATAAAAATTATATATGAATTTAAAAAAATATTTTATTTTATTTTTTTGTGTTGATATAAATTTAATATTATAATTTTTTATGTTGTATATATATTTGATATGATATAAATATAATATAAATATATGAATTATAATATAAATATATGAATTTTTTTATCTAAATTTTATACTTAATAATTTCAATAATTTTAATAGATAAACGTTACAATCCAACGTACCATAAAATAATTATTAACCTTTTTTATCAAATTAAACAAAAAAGAAATGAAGAAGAAGGAAAATTATTAACCTTGAACAAATGTAGAAATTAAGAACATTATTTGCAATATGACTTGCTTTACACATGGCTTTCAATGGTTCAACTTTAGGCATAGTGAGCCCTAGCCCTTCTGTCGTGTCGATTTTCTTCTGGCTCACCCTTTGCCATTCGAAACACTGATTCAGTGACCCCAATGTCAACCCTAACACATGTTGGGCTAGCCCCATTCCAAGGCAAGCTCTTCTTCCCAACCCGAATGCCATTAGCCTATAAGCCTGATCACTGATCTCCTTGCTTTCAAGCCTCTCTGGCTCAGAGCTTGTTGGATGATCTCATGATTCAGGATCCTTTTGAATAGGTAAAATAAATTTGATAATTTTAAGTACGCCACGTTGATTTAATATAAAAATAATATAAAATATATATATAAATTTAATATAATCATATTTTATATTTTAATTTTATCAATATAATTAAAATATAATATTATTCATATCATATTCATATTAAATAATAATAATATTTTAAAATATAGTATTATTCATATCATTAATGTCAAATTAAACAGGTCTTGTGGGATACTATTGAGCCCAAATTCGACCAATGGTAAATTAGGCCCAGAGCAATGAAAACCTTTTGACAAAATAAAAAATCTAAAAAAAAAAGGTCAGAAAATAATAGTCTCTTTCTTATCTTGAGACCCCAAAGCCTCTTGGCATCTGCAAAATAAAAGGCTTTGCGTCGCTTATCTAATGATAATCTGAGCTTCTATCACAGCCGTTGGATTAGGCTACTTTCGTAAGAATGATCTCCATCACCTCCGTCAAATTGAATTACCTCGTCTTCCGTTACCTTCAAGAGTCAGGTCAGTTCAAAATTTCCTTTACTTTGTAGCGATCTCTTTTTTTTTTTTTTTTTTTTAACTCTATTTCTTTGTTTTTGTTTCGTTTTAATTCTATATCCTGGGGAAATTTTTTTCGCTGTATTTGCAATTAGTGACGAACTTTAATCTGTTATTATTGTTGCTCGTTTAATGTAAAAGAAAATAAGCGAGAAAAATATTTAATTGAAGCGTGTGACCTGTAATTTTGAGATTAATTTTTTGTATTATAATGTTCTTAAGTTACATTGT